GGCGACCCTCGGCCTCCCCCACGCCCCTGCCCGGGCCTGCCCTTTGATGCCAAGCTGCCATGGGCTTTCTACTGTTTGACGCCATCTCTTACTCGTGCCGCCACCCCACCCGCCCCGGCAGGTTCAGTGACCTGCTTCTCACAGAAGGAGGCCCACGCACACAGCAACAGGTCCGGCTCGGCCCGGACCCCAGTGTGGTTCCAGGCGTGTGCAGACCTGCTCAGGTTTCACACAGAGCCTTCCTGCAGGGAGGTGTCTTTCCAGAGCTGGTTGCTGGAGGTCTTTGCAGAATTCTCGCCTCCACCGTCTAGGACCGCATCACGCAGAAGGGCTCGGGAGGGCCAGGACCCGCAGGCTGTGGGTGGGGGTCTGCGGGCAGTGTCCCTGCCGCTGACAGCCAGGGCCAGTCGGCTCCTCCGGCCCAACAGAACCAACAAGATGTGTGTCCACAGAAGGACACTTACTTAAGGAACTGACTCACCCTGCTGTGGCGGCTTGGTAAGTGCCATCTGATGGGGGAGGCGGGCCAGGAGACTCAGGGCAGAGCTGCAGTCTGCATCTGAAGATAGTCTGCTGGCAAGCTAGCTGGCGCCCATGCGGCCGAGGGAAGCGCGCCTGTTGCAGGACTTCCTCCTGCTCAGGGTGGTGGGGGAGTCGGCCTTCGGTTGGGCTCGGACTTGCAGCTGATTAGGTGAGGCCCACCCACGGTATGGCCAGCTGTCCACTTTGCTCAAAATCCACCATTTGGGGGCGGGGCGAGGGTGTAGCTCAGCGGTGGAGCACATGCTTTGCACTCATGAGGTCCTGGGTTTAATCCCCAGCAAACAAACAAACAAAAACAGTAAAAACTACCCCTGTAAACGCTAACCTCATCCAAAAACGCCCTCGCAGGAACACCCAGAGCAACACGTGACCAAATGCCTGGGCAGCATGGCCCCACCCAGCTGACAGTCGCGCCCTTGCTTCACACTGGACCAGTCGTGCTTTCCCTGAACGTGAACTTCAGACTTGCTGCCAGTGCATAAGTTACTCGCGCTTTCAGGCTTGGCGTGCAGAACTTCTACGTCAGGTCTGAGGACAGGTCCCTGAGTCTCAGAGGCAACAGTGCAGACCCTCTGCCCTGGAGGGCTTCTCTCTTCTGGGGCGCGTCACCGCATGTAACTTTTCCCTCTGAAATGGGGCAGAGGTCCTTCTGTAAACCACTTCGTTCCCTCCTACAGGTGACGAGGTCTATGAGGCCTCTCCCTTTTTGCTGTGGCTGCTAGGGAGCTCACAGCAAAAGCTGGGCTGTCAGGCTTGCCTTTCCCTGAACCTGGATGCAATGATATCATGGTCCCGTCTGCTCTTTCTTTCCTCTGGGAGGTCATATTCTTGCTGAACTTTTGCTCTAAAATAATCTTCACCCTCTGGCATCCAAAGAAAGCCAGTCAGCATCCGGCCTTGGGGACAGAGTGATGTTGATTTAGACTCTGACTCTGGATTTCCTAGCTCTCTGGCTTGGGACAACTCCTTTACCTCTTGGTTTTTTAATTCTACATTTAGGAAAGAATATGTAAATATTTAACTCAGAGCCTGACACATGACACTCAATAAAATTTGTTATTATTTTTAAATCATTTTGTCATGTTAAGGGAAGCACTAAATTAGATGTGAATGGAGTGGGCACCCCAGCCGGCAGGGAGCATTCCTGGCCAAGGGCAGAGGCAGAGAGATGTGAGGCCCTTCCGGTGCCCAAGGCTGGTCCCCAGGGGGTCCGGCTGCTGACACCTGGGGTTCAGGGGCCTGTCAGGAAGGCCTGGGGAGACGGTGCCACCGTCCAGCCGAGGTCCTGCCTGCCCTATGCTGGCCCTGGGTCAGAGAGAGAAGTCATGAAGCGAAGAGGTCTGGGCTGACACAGGCCTTAATTGGGGCTCCTGAGGGGAGGGCGGTCCAGGGTGGGAAGGTGGGGCTGGGGAGATGGGCTCGCAGCACTCTGAGCCCTCTGGTGCCACCTCACATGGGGACGCTCAGACAGGGCAGGGGCTTTGGAGTCACAGCCCGGGGCCTCCTGCGAGCCACAGGCATCTGTCCTGGTGAGTGGTCGAGGGGCCCCATGGCCCTGGGGACACAGCCTCTCCTGTGATGTGGCACTCACGATGCCTTGGACACCCTGTGAGTATGAAGGGTGGGAGGGGGGCCTGCAGCCAGCCCAGAGGAGGCACGGGGACCTCCAGGCCCAGGTCCAGTGCCCACTAGGGACCTGAACTTCCCCAGACCTGGGGCTGTGGGGGCCTGGAAGGAAACTGACACATACACCCCACATCCTGTGCCTGCCGGCCAAGCCCAGACTGTACCCTCTCTGAGCCTGTGTGCCCCGTGGGCCCAGGAAGGACACGAGCCCCAGGCAGGCGCCCAGTGCAGCCGCCTCCCCGGCCGTGCAAGAGCGAGGTGTCACAGCGTGTCTGTGTGAGCCTGTCGCCCCTGAGCGGAGGAGCCCCTGCTTGTCCTCTGCCCTCCCGGCGTCTTTCCACACTGAAGCTCTCTGCGCTGGCTGGGTGTTCCATTGTGGTCACGAGCAGGACCTGCAGGCAGATAAGGGGCTGGAATTCCACCTGTGCCGCCTGTCCAGGTGTGCGCCGCTCTGTGTCTGGGGCTCTGCGCCCAGAAATGCAGACGCCACAGGGCCAACCTCAAGGGTGCTGTGGGCCGGGGAGCCGTCCCCACCCAGACGCAGCCCTCAGGTGAGGGCCTCTGTCATCCTCACTGCTGTGTCCCTGGCAGAGCAGACAGCCCGAAACCTACTGGGGCTCCTGCACTGAATGATGAAGACCTTAAAAGAGCCAGCGAGAGCAAGGCGGCTGTGGCGGGGGAACGTTCACTCAAAGGGACTGAAGGTCCAGCGGTCCAGCTGGACATTAAGAGCCTCAGCTGTGGCTCTGTCCCCCCCAGGGCCGACCCGGCTGCAAGGCCGGCTCAGGCGGCGAGTCTGGAGGGGAAGGGGCAAGAGCGAGGGTCCCGCCTGGGCTGGACCCGGCGGGGGCTTGTGGCAGGAGGTTTTGGGCTTTGGGAGCTGCTGGCAGCCGGGCAGGGGTGGGAAAGGAGAGTCCTCATGGTGCGTGACCACAGAGGGGTCCCGGGACAGGCCAAGGACAGTGACAGGGCCACTCCCTCCCTCAGGACTCGGGGGACGCCGCTCCAGTCAGTTCGGAGCTGAGAGGTCACTTCCTGGGGAGAGTGGCCCCCAAGACCTGCGGTCGGAGGCTCAGATCTCACACTGGCAGCGCACGGGGACACAGCAGCTGGACTGGGAGCCCCCCACCAGCCACAGCTGGAGCGGGAGCAGGCGGGCACACAGCAGCTGGAGCCACCGCCCCGGAACAGCCACAGCACCCGCGGTGCCGGGGTAGGGGGGGTCTGAGGAGCGGGGCACGGCGGGTGTTCGGGTGTGGAGCCTCCGGGGCCGGGGGCCTCTACGCGCCGGCCAGGTCAGGTGAGGCCGGGCGCCGCTCGCTCCTGGTTCCCCTTTGTGCGTCTTCCCCGGGGAGACTGCGTTTCTCTGTTTAACCCCAGAGGGACCTCGATGGTGCCGTTGTCTTGTGCTCTTTCCTTAGGTCATTATTTTCCCTCACGTGTCCCTGAGGAACAGCAAGGCCCTGGTGTCCGTGTCGGTTGGCCATGGCGGGGCGGGGTCCTTGGCTCCGATGCTCTGTCCATCTGTGCTGCCTGCACTGGTGTCCAGTGGCCGCTGGAACAGATGACGACATCTGGGGGTGGGGAACAGTGGGAATGTGTCCTCTCCCAGCTCTGGGGCCAGAAGTCCGCTCCTAGGGACACCCGAGGAAATGAAAACACTAGCTCGAAGAGACACGGGCACCCCCATCCACCGCCGCAGTGTCCGCCGCAGCCAAGGCTCGGGAACAAACGCGGTGCCCTTCAAGTGGCATGTTTACCCAGTGGAACAGTGCTCAGCCACGGAAAGAAGGAAGCCCTGCCGTTTGCAACAACATGGACAGATCTGGAGGGCGCTGTGCCAAGTGAAGTGTCAGACAGAGAAGCACGAACACCGCCTGGTGTCACTTCCATGTGGGATCTGAAAAGTAAAGACCCAAAGTCATGGAAGCAGAGAAGAAAAGCAGCTGCCAGGAGCCGGGGGTGGGGGAAACGGGGAGAGGTGAGGGAAGGAAGGAAGGAAGGAAGGAAGGAAGGAAGGAAGGAAGGAAGGAAGGGAGGGAGGGAGGGAAGGAGGGAGGGAGGAGAGGGGGAGTTCACGGTGGAGGCAGCAGAGCCCAGCTCCCTTTCCTTGACCTCCCTGCGCCTCCAGTCCCTGGTCATCATCCCCTATAAGCCGTGGTCAGCCATTCGGGGTGCATGGATGTCTGTGGGCATTTTGTGTTCTTGTGATAAAAAAAGTTGTAGATGTGTTTTAATGTTCTAAAGACACACCATCTGAATAGCAGACACGTTGCTACGCTGGCTTTGTAATGGACAATGACCGCATCCTGTCTCCTCACCTCAGAGGTGTCCACCCATCCCCCAGCCACCGTCCCCCGTCCCCGGTCCCCCACCCCCCACCCGCACACCCCGCCTCCACTCACCCCCCAGTGAAGGCGGCCTGCCGGCTCTGCCGCCACAGGTAACCCTGAGCGCCGCGAGCACAGCCTCCTCACGTGGGCTGGAGGCTGGCCTGTTGGGGCGGCAGGCCATGCAGCCGTGAGGCCCAGTCGGCAGAGCCACTGCCTGGTGCAGATGCCCACCTCCCCTCCCTGCCCGGTGACCTGGGGCGTCACACAGGCTTGCCGGTCCTCAGGGTCCTCATCTGTAAAAGGACCCGCAGTAACTGCTTTGAGGTTACTTCATGAGAGTGGATGAAAACCTGGCCCTTCCCAGGTTCCCAGTGAGAGCACGGTGACCTTTTCACTCTGGCCCTCTGTCCTCTCCTGGGCCCGGGGCTGCCCGCGTGGTCCTCCCTCCCCTCAGGGTTTAGGGAGGGCCTCTTTGAGGAGCAGACAGGGTGGGAAAGGAGGGGGCCGAGCAGAGGTCGCTGCGAAGTCCACGGGCGCCCCCTGGTGCCGGGAGCTCTGAGTCTGTAGACAGGGCCCCGGCGCAGGACCCCGGCTCTGAGCAGCAGATAGTCTGGAACCCTGGGCACAGGCTGGTGCAGAGAAAGGGCGCCGACGTGGCCCCCTGGGGCTGTGCGCTTGGAGCACTGGTACCACGACCCTTCCCCCCAGCGAGCTGGCCCTGGCTCTGAGGTGACCCGTGTTCCTCCTGGCCCCTCCCCTCCGCGTGGACCGCGCTGAGCTGTCCCGGGGCTGGAAGGGCCTGAGCAGGGAAGGGGATAAGAGCAAGGCCCTTCCCTTGGGTCTGACTGCCAGCAGGGCCCTCGCCGTGTGCCCGGGCAAGCCGGCTGGTCTGTGCCCTCAGACCCCCCACCTGCCTGTCGCTCCATGGCTCGGGCCAGCTCCCTGGGCACTGGGTCTGCGGGCTCAGGCCCACGAGGAAGCAGCCCCGCACTTGCTGGCCTCTGGTGCCCCGTCCCTGGCCCCCCATCAGCCTCTGGGTCCTCCAGGTCCCTGTCCCCCAGCCCTGTCCCCATCCCCAGGGGCTGTCTGTGTCCTGGGTAGGCTCCAGTCCTCGGCCTGTCTGTCACCGAGTTGCTGATGCTCGCTGAACCTCCTCTTCTCAACTGTAAAATCACAACAGTGAGAGTAGAGCCCATCCCCACTAAGTGGGAAGATGCTCGGGGGCCTCTTCCAGGCCCTGAAAAGTCAGCGGGGTGAGAGGGCGCCACCTGGTGGCAGGGGGGTACACACGACGGCGCACCGGCCAGTGGAAGGAAGGCTGTTGGGAGGGTGCCCAGCTGACCTCCAGGGTTTGGGGTCTGCAGGAATCTGCCGGGACCTCGAGGGGCGGTGTCCCCAGCGGGTCAGGTGCCACTGAAACACCTGGAGCTCTGATGAGGTTACAGCTCTCTGGCCTGGGCCCACCCGAGAAAAGAGTGGAACCAAACCAAGTCCACTTTGTCTGGAGATTGGAAAGCACTTATTTGGCGGGTCCCATTCATCTATTTTTCACCATAAATTAATCCCTAAATCGATTTCTGTCTAATCAA